GGCAAGGAGAAGGTGGCAAAGCAACACAGGCAATGCTGTGCTAAGCACTCACTGCAGACTACTTGATCAAGGACAGAAAGTCAATAGAGCCATCTCATGCAATCACAGGCCTTAGGACTGACTCATGGGTGTACTTTAGCTGGATGGGCTATATGACTGGTTTCTGGAGTGTGATGAAGTTTCTTGACAAAGGCAATTGATGAATCAAATAGGGGAGATGCTCTGTTGGGTTTGTTATTCATAAACAAGGAAGAACTGGTCTGGGACATGAAGGTCAAGAGAGTGCATGAGTAAGCCATGAGACTGTGGAATCAAAAATCCCACAAGACGTCAGCAGGACAAATATCATTACAGTCCTTGCTCTCAGGACAGCAGATTTTACCTTATTCAGGCCCTACCTGGTAGTATCCCAAAGGGAGCTGCCCTGGAAAGCAAAAGGACTCAGGAAAGCTGGTTGTTCTTGAAGGACAGCTTCCTCAAAGCAGGAGAACAGTTCATTTCAATGTGCAGAATGTAGAGCCAGCATGGAAGAAAGCCAGCATGGGTGAACAGGTACCTCCTGACAGAGGCCCAATGTAAAAAAGAATTACACAGGAGGAGGAAGCAAGTAAGAGGAACACAGGGACATTGTCCAGTTGTGCTGAAATGGAATAAGAAAAGCCAAAGCTCAACTGGAATTGAAGCCAGTGAGGGATGTGAAGGGCAAGAAGAGCTTCTGTAACTACCTTGCAGAGAGGTAGGCTGTTGGCATTGTGAGACCCCTGTCTATCATCTCCATGGCAACCAAGGGAAGCTCCTGATGACTGGAAAACAGGAAATGTCACAGTCATCTTCAAGAGAGTCAAGGAGAATGATTTAAAGAAACTACAGACTGGTTGGCCTCACCTGACATCTTGGGGAGGTTATGGAAAAAAATCCTCACAGGAAGCCACGGCCGGGCACACAAAGGAGAGGAAGGTGACTGGAATTAGTCAGCTTGGATTTAGTAAGGCCAAATCATGCCTGACAGACCTGGTAGCTTTTTACGATGGGCTCAAACAATTGGCATCAATGGTATATAGTCCAGCTGGTGGCTTAGCACTAGAGGCAGTCCTCAAGGATCCATATAAGGCTGATGCAGTTTATCGTATTTACTAATGACCTGGACCTGTGGGCAGGAGATCACAGTTGGCAAGTCTGCAGATACAAACTGCAGGGAGTGGTAAATATTCTGCGGGGCATAGCTGCAATTGAGAGGCACACTGACAGGCTGGAAAAATGGGCCAACACAAAGTGCAGCAAGTGCAAATACAAAGTCCTGCATCTGGGACAGAATAACCCTATGCAATAGGACAGGATGGGGGTTGACTGGATGGAATGTAACTATAGGGCCTTGATTCCTGGAGGAAAACAACTGGAACATTAGTCAGCAGTGTGAAATAAGTTCAATAGCAGTTCATGATGTATTAACAAGAAATGTGTCCAGCAGGATAAGTGAAGTGATTCTTCTTCGTTCAGTGCTTGAGAAACCCCCATCTGGAGCACTATGTCCAGTTTTTGGATACCCACTACTAGAAAGGCACTGACAAAACCACAGCAAGTCCAGCAGAGGGTCACCAGAAAGGTCCAGGGTGTGAAGTACATGCTATATGAGTAGATGACACAACTGACTTTGCTCAGCCTTAACAAGTGAAGTTTAATTGGAAATTGTATTGTTGCCTTCCATTACATAATGAGAGGGCAGAGAGAAGATGGAGCCATTACTCTTTAAGGTGCACAGCAACAGGACAGGAGGCAATGAAAACAGGTTGGAACACCGAAGATTCCAATTAAGCAGAAAATTTTTCACCATTGAGGTTGGTTAAATATTAGGCTACCCAAGAAGAAGTTGTGGTATATCCACCCTTAGATATGCACAAAAGTAAACTGCCAGATTTCCTCAGCCATCTGATATAATTGGACCTACTCTGAGTAGGAGGTTGGAATAAATACCAGAGGGCTGAATTAAAATTACTCTGCAATTCCATCATCTTTCCCTCTTGCTCTTTTATGTACCTTTTCCAGTTCTGTGAAATCTTCTTTGATACGGGGAGGGGAAACAACAATTATGCAAAACATCTAAGAGCTTGGTGTCACAAGTGAAGTTTTCCTCCATTTCTTAATTTATTCCCAATATTCTGTATTTGTTTTCTTCAACTGCTACTGTATCAACGTTTTCACAAAACTACCTACTATAACCCTAGAATATTGTTCTTGAGTGATGAGTCAGTTCTATCTTCCTATGGAGTTACGAACATTTTCGTATTGATCTGTACCACTTTATAGCTAACCACAGTGAGTGTCATCTGCCATTTTTATACCCCAGCCACTCAATAAGGTTCTTCTACAGCTCTTCATAGTATCATCAGCAAACTGTCACCTCCCTAGTCATCCTTCATTTTAGGTAAATTATTAATTCTGTCACACATCATAGTCTCTGAAACAGATTACTGTAGATTTACTTTCCATTCTTCAAACGATTATTTCCTCCATAAGGACTTTCCATCTTATTCGAACACAGTTCAGTTTCCAAAACTTCTTGGTAGGAAATAATTTGTGTTTGGATATGCAAAAGAATGAAAATACATCGATCAGTTCTTCCTTGTCATGCGCTTGTTTACTTACTCAAAGAGCTCCAAGGTTTTCTAGCATAAGATCTTCCATTACAAAAATCTTAAGTGCCAACATAGCTATTATGTTTACTAATTCTACTTGAGAAAAAGATTCTATTAATCTGCCCATTTGAAGAAGTCTTTTAGTACCATTCTTTACATTGTTATTTAGCCATGCTGGTTTTTGTCTAGGCTTTTTGAAAACTGTACTTTTAAACTGAGCAGCATGCACCTGTGTCTCCAGTATAGCATCTTCAAATGATCTCCATACTGTCTCCACAGATTTAATTCTCACAGACTCTTCTCAAAAGTTAATCCTTATCTTCCAAGGTAACTCTACCCGTTTGCTCATACAATTGTTTCTTGCCCCTGCAACCTCTCTGCTATTATCTTTTTTATTGAAAGACTGAAACTGGCAAAGGACTGCAAAATTTTTGTATCAATACCATGTTAAATTTAGTACAAAATGGGTCCCCAAAATACTTGCTTTAAATACTTCACACAGAATGTACTATTCAGAAAAAACTAAATTCCCTTCCCTGCAGTTTGATGGGCAAGCCTTATGAATCTTAGAATGCAGAAATGAACAGGTAAGGTTCTGGTTAAGGACAGAACATAGTTCACAGTTGCCAGTTTTCATTTCGTGAACAGTCTCAGACATAGCCATGGAACTGTAGAAGTCAAACTATTATAGCCAACACATAAAACTACTAGTCAAGAGAATTTGTCCCATCACCAAAACCAATCATCTGAAAAAAAAAAAAAATTGCTGGCTACAATAATGTTAGACTTCTGCAAACTGTAGTCCAATATTTAATATTCACTTTGGTCTTTTTGCTCCAGAGCAAAATCTCCACTGTGATTACAGTGTATTTCTCATTGGGTAAGATGAAAAAAGTAACCCTGATACCCTAATTGCATTCATCTTCAATGAAAGAACACTTAAGCTTCAGTAAGAACAAGGATCGTAAATTTATTTTTAATGTACATTTTATAAAAGGGACTGTACAGACTACAATCTCAACACAAGTACACACAATGTTTTCTGTCCCTGCCACCCCCCACCTTCAGATAGTTTCTGGAGGACTTTATTGCACAACAATGGTATCACTTTTGCAATCTCAGTGCAACACTTAACACCTAAATAAAATCCTCACAGGGAACTACTAAACCTACCTTTTCTCTGTTAACTGGCATAAATTTAAAGATAGATACCAGAAGAGAAGGAAGAATCTGAAACATGGCTGAAGAGACATATTCTTATCTCCCTTTCTCTAACTGTTTAGAGACTGAAGACTCAGAACGCTATCAGACATTAGTGAAAGACACAGTTTCATCATGAGTGAGACGAGCATTGAGAAGCTACAGTTACTAACTTCCCACAGACTGAAAGACACCTGAATCTTGTTTAATATATGGAATTCCTATCCAATCAAGCATGTTTACACACATTTGGGTTAGCATGGTCCTTATTTCATAAAAAGCCATAAAATTGGGAACCCTCCCCCCCAAAAAAACCAACCCCAAGATCATTTGAAACAACAGCTTAATTACAGATAAAAGAGCAGTGTCAACTTAGCTGTAAATTATTCATCTATTTTATTTTCAGAAATGCAATAGTATAACAATGAGTGGCCTATATATAAAAAAAAAGCTTGCAAAAGTGTATGATAATAATACGCTATACAGGACATCCATTCAGTTTAACAAAAAAAATCTTCTAACTATATGAAGAGACTAAAGTGCCAGCTTCCTACACTTAATGCTTTCAAATGTTAACCAGTTGGCATAGTCACCAGAGTTAGATAAAAACACTGTAAGTTAATGGAATAAAAGCTGTATGGCATGAAAACCATACATGACTTAAGTTTTTGATGAAATCTTTCCAATACTGTCTTTTGGTGAAAAAAATATATTTGAAACAAATATGACTTGTGGCATGCCTGGATCACCATCAGCATGTTTTCATTCTTACTATTTATTTGAATGTTAAAGAAAGTTGAAATCCTATCTTCCCATCAAGAACAGTAAATGGACACATTTCTTTTCCCACAAATCTTTCTGTTCCGTGTCTGGCAATTACTCTTCTTTCTTCTTGTTCCACCCACCACCCCACCCCAGCTTGGAAAGACTATGAGAAAAAAACCCAAAACAAACAAACCAGATCTCGAAGATGACCGTTTTTTGGAGTTATTTTCATTTTTTTTTTTATGGGCCTCAAATTCCATCCTTGAAAACCGCAAGACTATGTAACACAGAATTGGTGGATAAGACTGCCTTCTTGATTTAGACACGTCACAAGTGCATCATTCTAAGAAATGAATAAAATCCCAGACTTGGATCAAAACTACCAATTTAGAAAAGTCTTACCTGGAAGACTTGACTTGTTTGGTAATATCACTTCAGCATGTTCCTCCTTCTCATCACAGGGATCCTCTTCATCAGAGAGTACTAAGAAAGCCTCTTTTGGCAGGCTTTCATTGCTTTCCTGCTTGGATGGCGAACCCAGACAGTTGTCCATTTTCTCTTCTAAATCTGTGACTGTGTCGTCCACTGGAAGCAGAGAACTTTTAGAAAAACAGCTCAGTTCATCTTCAGCAGGGGCTAGTTTTTCCAAAATTGGAATAATTTCATCTGTTTCCATAGAGTCAGTATTGTCCAAGATACTCTCACTTGGCTCATCTATTGTCTTCTGAACAGTGGTTTCTGAAAGACCTGCAGTGCTGTCTTGTTTGTCCTTTGGTTCCTGGTCAGCTTCCATACTGCTAGAGATAGTTTCTTCTCCAACAGCATCTTCAACAGTTACTTCTTCAGTTCTCCTTTCCTCAACAGATGAACTGGAATTAATAGTTAAGTCATTTGTTTCTCCCCTCTCTTCAGAAGAGTCACTAATAGCACAGGTTGATTTATTTTCACCTTCTGATGGGATGTCATTCTCTCTTTGGTCCAAATGATCTTTTGTATTATTTTCTTCATGGAAGTTATCTTTATTGCTACCAAGCGCTCCATTTTCAGCTTCACAAGCTAAAGCAGTATCAGTATCTTTTTCTTGGTCAGGAGTAACATTCTCCGGGGACAGCGTTGGCGGTTTGGGTTCTATGTCATTGACTATGTTCCCTGCCCTACTTTCAGGGCTTTTGGCTTCACTATTTTCATCAGAAGCTGTTCTTCCTTCTTCAGAGTTAACACACAAGTCCACTAGGCCATTAACTTCCTTCTTGTCCTCCGTACAGTCTGTATTGCTTAAAGGGGAATTTAAATCAGAATCTCCATTCTCATGTTTTCCATTTAACAGTTTAACTTCAGTTGTCTTCAACAGCTCCTCTTTAACCTTATATACTGCTTCAAGTTGTTGTCGATCACTTACTCTCATTGTTTTTCGTGCTTTAAAGACTTTTTTCTGAGGTTCATCTGCGCTATCCATCTTGACCCTTAAAAAGAAAAGTTCAGAAAGAATTGTGAAGGTAACAATTTATTATCATCCTATTACAGCGCTCCTAAGAAAGACTACATTTAGCATATTTTAAAGCAAACCGGTGTAACTGTATCTACAAAGAAACACCTGACAACACACATTTTGTCTTCAGAAAAAGTGAATACAAGTTTCTACGTATGCTGCACAAACACGTGTATGTAAAGATCACTGAGATCACGTGATAACACTATGTAGTAATATCCTGACTACATGTTTTAGACCAGTTGTCTCATAGTTTTATTAGAGCAAAGCCACATGAGTTTTTCTAGCTAGAAACAGAGTGTGCTAATGTAAGAGCCACCAGCCTCTCTTCTCATAAAAAAAGTAAGAAATATTCTTGGTCCATCAGTTTACATTTATTTTATCTTTCTAAAACTAGGTAGTTTCATGAGTTTCAAATAGAACTAACAACTGGGATAAATGACAAGATTTTTTATATCAAGTAACCTTAAAGAAAACTTCAACGTATTGAAAGAATTTCTGAACGTGTCATTAAGATACTTTTTTTCTTCTGTATAAATAAAATAGACCTTCATCCTTCATATTTATACAATGGTTAACTGAACTTGGGTTTTTAGAGCACTTTCATTCAATTTGCAATAATATTTTACTAAGACCATTTGTGCTCATGAGAACTACAGTTTTTGTAGCTCCTTTTAGAAAAATTTCCTTTTTCAAGGAAAATTGCCCTCCTTTATTCATTCCACCCGCCCATGCAAATATTAAGCAAAATAAGAATATTAATATTAAAAAGTAATGTTCAAAAGTCTACTTTATCAAATCAATAAATAGTTAAATCCAGCATTACCTATGAAGTTACAGTAATTTTGTTGAAAAACAACAAGATCTTATTTCATTTGTTTCCATTAAACAAAACAAAAATCCATATGGATTTTTAAACTGTACTTCTTCCCTCATGTGGTCTTCTTTTAGGACCCAGTTTTAAAGGATTAAATATGATAATGTTGTTCAGAAGCAGAAAGCAGTTAAGTAACTTGTTATAAACTAAATGGAACTCAGCAACTAAGATCTTGAATTTAGCTCTACTGAAGCTACTACACCATCAAAAGTTACTCCTGTCTAGGATATGGCTTAAGTTTCTTAAAACATGCGAAAATTCATGTGGGTAACAGCAGTTAAAAGATATTACAGCAAGTAGAAAAAAGAAAATAAATCAGGCAGTTATCCCTATATTAATCTTATTTTTTGCACAAACACCAAAGCAGCAAATGTTTATACCACTCATACAGCAAAATTATTACACAGAGGATGCATTTTAAATATTTAGTACAGTTCATTTTGCATCCTCCCCCACTCCACTTTCATTCACAGAGCAGAGAAATTCATTAATGAAGTGCATTTTGTCTTTTCAGGTGGGGTATAAATTTTGGGGTTTTGGTTGTTGTTTTTTTTTTTTGATAAAAAAGCAGGACTATCGCCAACACTAGCTCAGATCAGTGATGGTTTTGTACAACCAAGTAATAAAATTCACAAAACAGATTCCACAGCCTCTAAGTAACAGTTTCGCTCCACCCTCTCCTCTCTGTAACCCCAACCTTGCCTACAAGCTTTATTTAGGTAACTGTTAAGACTGCCCTTTAACCTTGTCTTCAGCAGATTAAAGTTTTCAAGCTCCCTCAGCATCTCATCATAGGTCACGTGCTTTAGGCTCCCATCATTTGGGTAGTCCTCTGCTGGATCCTTCCTGGATACTTGCAACAGTTTGTTTATGAAGGAAATTATTTGATGTTTATACATTACCCAAATAGAATATTCTATGCTAACATATGAATATATATTCTAAGGTGCAACATGAATTCACCTATCAAGACAAACTCTAAACCTTACAATCATGACACACCATATTTTACAATTATAAGCCTTGTTTTACACGTAGTTAAAATGATCTGACAAAAATATAAGGAAAATAAAAAGCAATATGATTTAAAAAAAAAAAAAGATTTTCCCCTGTTTTGCATTTCCTATTACCATAACATTGAGACTCCCTTCCACTTTATTTCAGTTCTTTTCTGCGTGACAATCTAGAATCCATGTATTTGAGTACCTGATGGTGCTTAAATAACACCTTGATTCACACCTCAGGAACAGATGAACAAATCTTCACAGAAGGTTGTATTGGCTCTATTTACATAGTCTCAATAATACCATTAAGACATGAATTTTCACCAGTCTGAACGAGATTTCTGAACAGGATTGTCTATTGCTGCATTGCCACTAGTGGGAGCAAAAGAAAACATAAAGACACTGATCCGCAACAACAAACAGTTTACTTGTTTTTAGAAAATGATCTGACTGAAAATGGTTATGTGATGAGAACAAATATGAACCCCGGATGAGCTGTTAATGTCGTCTCAGAGCTGTATCTTCATACTTCTCCAGAGAAGAATACATTTAACACAGTAATTCTAGTCCTGAAGTTTGAAGCAGCATATAAAAACCTCTAGTATTGCAGAAGTGCATGTGCAGTTTTTGAAAGCACATCACTTCCTTCTTCGCAAGAACTTAGAATGTAAAGCACATTTTTTCACCTCACTCTAAATGTATGTATTACTGTCACGTAACAGAATACTGACCAACATATTCGCGTTCTATGCATATAATCCCCTACAACCAGCATGCATGCTGTTACAGAGATGTAGCTTGAAGAGCCAATTGGAAAAACCCAGAAAATTCCAGGCTTGGCTAACCTTGAACAATTCCAAGAGCTCCTAATAGGTTACCAGCTAGTGACAGTCTTCTGTTAATGTAGTACAAGCATACAGGGCCTTTGTATCAAAATTAAGACCGACAAGTAGTTTGATCTCCCGCACCACAATGCTTTCTTTTATAAGCATTACCTAGAATTTAAAAGTTCTCATATTACAAAATTCACAACCCTACTTCTAGAAGATACACTAACAGATTAATAAAATGTTCACAGATAACTTAAAATCAAATTCATAACTGCATCACTTGAGTAATCATAAAATAAAACTTAAAACAAATTAATATTTTCGTCTCTAGTTTCCTTAATCATCTAGACAGTCTTTCATTACTATTTTCAACATAAAACAAAATACAGTAAATAGAGTAAAACGAAGGGCACTTTCTTTTTAAATGTGCGAAGAATAGCAGTCTTAAAAAATTAAAGATCAGAATACCTTTATATTGATGCATCCTTCTTTTTTTCTTAAAAAAATACTGAATGAATAAGCTAAAATTTCTGATATTTCAAAATTATGTTTACTTTATATCTTAGGATTATATGCAAAATCTAGTTTAAAAAAAAAGCTCTAATACAGTTCTACAGTGAACCTGCACGAAAAAAGGCTTCTCATAAAATTCCATTGTTAGATGATTAACACATGCATATTTTCAGCTCAATCCCACAATCTTCTGCAACCAAAGAATATCGCTAAAAGCAACCCTAAGTGACAAAATTACAAGCACAGATGAGATTAAAAGATGAACACTAAATGCTGCTTAACAGCTAAATATCATGTATCATTGCAGACCAGCCTTAGTGTTTCCAGCCATACCCACAAGGGAGCACACTGCAGCCAAGTAAGAGATCTCGTGTGAGAGCCGAATAACAGAAGAAACAAATAAACTGGTAACCAGTCCAGACAGGTTTGGTCATACCAGTGCAAGCCAATCAGCAGCCACCTAATAAATACTGCCTTCCAGTCTGTGAGAGGGGTAAGGAGGTTGCCTTTCAGAGAGCAACTCCAGAGCAGGTTACGGGAACTCAGACTTGCACAAATAAAACATTTAAAACTAGCAGTGCTCTAAATGAACGTTGGTAATCTCCCTTTATACATAACAACACAAAGTTTAGCGACATTTGCTATGCACTTCCCTCATCTGATGCTTGCGTATTTTCAGTTTTTAGTTATCGTGCGACCAAGTCACCAGAAGGAAAACAAGTGACCCAGGCACCAAGCCAACGGAGACGCATCTTTTATTTCAAAAGCAGACATTTCTATGGAACAGCACAAAATGACTCCTGCATGTAGAGCTAAGCATGTAAGGGTTAAATGCTGTAATTAAGGTGGTAGGTTTTGGGTTGCCTTTTTTGTTTTCATTTTTTAAAATACAATAATCAATTTTGAAACATCAACACATACAAACACTGTTTATATTTGTTTAGATACAATTCATGAAAATTCCCTTTTTCACTTTAGGCTTGAAAGTCATGCATACTTCAGCATGAGACACACAAACACACCATTAGGCACCTCCCTCCAATAATATTTGGAGATTTCTTTCTCATGACCAAATGCGTGCTACATGGCAAAAACCAAAATGTGCCAGTGCAGCTACAAATATGCAAAGGACTCCTCTCTCAGCCAATTAAAAAGTTTTTCCTCTATTTCCTTTATTATTATTGTTATTACTCTGTAGAGAGATTGCATCTCTAAAGCAACAAAGAAAGGTATTAGCTTAGCTGCTATGGATTAGCCTATAATCGCGTGCTCAGATGAGCAGCCCAAGAGCTGCTCAAAACGTTAGCCAATCAGCAAGCAGCTGCCTGAATCCTGCCTGGTAACAGGCAGCACACAAAGAGAAGGTCATGGAAACATGGGAGGGAGGAGAGAAGCTGGAATCTAAACAATACTGCACAAGGGGGTTTGCGCAGTATCTTCAGTCTAGAACAGCACTGGCACAGGGTTCCGGGCACACACGTGGTGCTAGCCAAAAGCACCACAACCATAAAACATTTGCCAAAGCACAAGAATTACATGGAAGAAGTAAAGACTTGGATCATGAAAATCAATGCTTAAATATGCAAGTCTACTTAAAATGTAGCATAGCCAAATCAAGGAAGGTGAGGCAGCAAATGGTCAGGAGTATTTTTTTCTAGATGGAGAGTCCCAGAGAATGAAAGTGGTGAACAGAACCTACCTTTTAAGTAGCGGTTCATAAAAAACAGTTTTAAGTTGAAATCC